TTGATCTCTAAATCTCGATTGAGATATCAATTGATAAGCAAAGGTAAAACTTTAACCTAAGTTTACAATACAGTCACTCTATCTTGTTGTTTGTCAAGACATTCCTTTGCCAATGTCTGCTAATACTAATTATTTTTTAGGACTTGCCGTGGTATCGATTTACAATGCGGCGATATGGGTGGATGGACGATATTATCTGCAAGTCGAGCAGCAAGTTGACTGTAACTGGCAAGTCATCAGAGCAGGTTTGTTGTTGAGCTTGTACCATGAAATAAATTTGAGAAATGACTCACTATAATAATAAGAGGAGTTGAATAACTCAGTGGCTACTGATCCCAAGGTGCTGGGTTCAATTCCTGTCACAGCAGGAATTTTTCTCGACCAAAAACGACTCCACTCTCTAAGCCTCATAAAGAGGCTTAGTTTATAAACATCATTCTCATCCTGTGAGTGGCGAGTGTACTTGCTGTTGGATGTGATGGAAATATTTCAAAAAATATGCCATGTAGGTACTCTTTGAGTGAAGTGGTATTGCTTAGTGGTTAAGCTTCTAATCCCAGGGTTCTGGGTTCAATTCTTTTGACAGCCCGGCATTTTGTCAACTAAAGCATCAGCATCATCATGGCGATTTGCTTGATATTGGATGTGGAAAAATTAATATAGGCCTATAAAATAATACAAAGCCTGTAAAATAATGTAAGCGTATATATACAGCGATATTAATTTATCGAGATTTCCAAAGTTACCAATAGTAGCACTGTATTAGTAATGATACAGGACTATATAACTTTCTTGTAAAACTATTTGAATTGCAGTACACTTAATTAAATTTACAGTTCAATTCAAATTTCTCTGTAGGGCCTATTTATTATTGTGAGGTCAAGTAACTATAGGTAAAGAGGTAAAAGCAATACAACACATTGTTTTCGACTATTTAAGGTGTAACGTCACAATTACAGATACATAACAATATGAATAATGAGATAACGTACAACGTGTAATGTAAACAACTTTTGCAGATGATATCGGGACACTTACGCCGTTTCAGTGGATTGAAAATGAACTTCTCTATGGATATCCTGTTGGATTCGATCCCAAGACAATGCCTATTCGTAAGTATGGATACGTACACGTGTTTGTGCGCATGCGTAAACTAGGCCTTTTAGTTTAAAGCCATTTATGCACATTATAATTAGAAGCATCGTGCAAACAAATGGATAATAACAACACTGCTCGACTAGGAACAAGATGTCATAATCGTATCAAGCATAGCCCTTCAACATATGAAGTTGCATATTTGTATGTAGGCCTATATTAATTAAATATTTGTGTATATTTTTATTTATTTATATTATATTTATGTAGGCCTATATATAATTATAATGTCTAGTAGTGTCATGTATATAACATCCTAATTAATTTAGCTAAAACATTGTAAATAATAGTTCAACGCGTACTACTCTAACAAAAAGAATTCAAAGAAATGGAAGAGCACTAAAAGAAAACATTTACAATTCGTTAAAAATATGCATAATCATTTATTTTAAAAGAAATATTAAAAGACGCTGAAGAGTTCTTCAGTACATCACCAAAGCGCTTACGAATGCAGAGATTGCAAAACAACCTCGTTGATATCATTTGGCGAAATCAGCCTCCGTTGCCTGACAACAGGCTGATGGTATTGGAACAGAAATACGCTGGTGAGTACTTCCCCATTGTAATTCACTCAGATTAAGATTGACGGAGTTTTAGATATTTTATATACAGCTCCCCTTTCAACTTGTATTTTTTAGGCTACTCGCATATAGATAGTCTGATGAAAAGTAGTCATTTGTCTTTCGAGTATTGATATAATTCATGGATTAATTAGTCACATAGTAACGATGTTTTTTGCGCCAAAAACAGGTAAAAGCTGGCAAGAAAAAATTAAAGACGTTCGAAAGGTGATGCAAGAGAAAGACGCTAACACTCTGCTTATATCAGTACTGGATGAAATAGCATGTGAGTTCCTACGTATAATATTCTATGCTCTGTCCACACTCTATGATAGTTTATGTGACAAATTAAACCCAAATATGGGCATATCACAATTACTTGTCACATAGAATTTGATAGTGTGGACAAAATTTATAACGCCAATAAAATACATTAATTAAATTCAATACATTCTATACAATTTATATACATATTTCAAGCATTCGCAAACAAACAGGAAAAACATTTGAGATAAGTAAAACTAATCAATGGCCATATTCGACTGGTGCGTTTCATTGACAACGATTTTTCGTTGAGTATTATTTTCATTCGGCTAGTTCGTAAAATAGACTTCGTTGACAACTGAAATAAACACGTAAACCAGAGTGCAATAATTTAATTATTTTGCTATCCACGTGACCAAAACAAACACGGCCGATTACGTGAATATAATTTAGATTGAATTTTATAAAATAATAATTATCCACATTCCACATAGTCCAACAATAATTGTAGGTTAAAAGAATTCAAAACTGCATGAAAATATTTACCCCGGTATTACGAAATACCCATAACACTGCCACAATCCGAAGCAACCTTCATTACGCTAGCGTGTATCGTGGTAATTACGCAGCCATTTTGTTTTGTCGGGTATTTACCAGTTTTCTATTCATCTGGTCGTCTTTGTTTTTAAGCAATATTTTACCACTGCGTGATTTAACGAAGAACGACCAGTCGAATCGCGCAACAGATGATGGGATAAGTTAGAACGTATTCATGAGACAGTTCAATATTACGTCATTGAATATGAACCAGTAAGAATATGTTAGTGAGAATGTTAATAGAAAAGTATTGTTAATTTGCTTTTATCTGTTTTAGGGTTATTCAATCTCCGAGGGACTGACGTTACGTACAGTCCAGTTTTCTTCTCGTATGCCATACTCACTAGCAGCTCTATACGGTATAGTAATTTTAAAGCTTGTTTGTTTTTATTTTTTTAAATAATATATTATTTTCTTCTTTAAGGAATTGGCAATCATTTCCAAAATGTAAATAGACTGGCATGAAGATTTTAAAATTAAAAATTCAATAATTTTCATAGAACATTTTTCTTAAAATTCAATCATTTTCAAACGTGCATCACCATCTAGAATTGTATATAGGGCCTATGATTATATATACATATACACATACAACAAACCTACAAATACATATATATTTCTTATCATATACACACTTAGGCCTATATACATCTTTTTTAATTTCATGGGAATTATACCCAGATTTTAGTTTTCATACAAGGTCAATCCATGTTTCTTATATTGTTCGTTTTAGTTAGGTCTATATAATATCGTCGCTGTTCCCATGAACTGGCGAATCGCGATAATTATCGCGATTATTATCGAAGAATGATGTTAGTACAGACTAGATTACTTTAAGAGTGTAGCGATTGTATGGAAACTTAATGAAGATTCTGCTAAATTCAGTATCATGCTTCTCCAAAAGTGCTAAACAACTTCACACCAAATGCCCACATATTGTTTCCAGGTCTTGGTCATGTCGGTGTGTCGTGGTGGGTCTATCGAGCCTCTTTGGATTTGTGAAAATAATGAAGAAGTAACGAACACATAATTGTACAATGCTTATAGGCCTACAGTAGGACCATTTTCTTAATAGGCCTAGCTTGCATTGTTGTTATTGCATTTTGAAGACTTTCGTTTTCAAACTAATATTTTTATATCATTATATTCATCTTAGACTTTACCTGAGTGCTTTCAACAAAACCAAAGACGATAGAGTTTTCCAACAGCATCTTAATGTATGTTTGTCGCCATATGAAGCCGGTAAGCGTATATAACAGAATTTCTCCGCTAAGTCATGTCTCTTGTGGGACATGCGCGTGTTCCAGGGCCGGTTCTGATTGGTCAGTTGTTAAGTTCGGTTGACACTTCGGAAAAATCCAGTTTAACATGCTAATTACAAAATTGTATCTATAGGCATACAAGATGTAGCTTCAAGGTTTACTGATACAATACAAAATCAAAAAGTATTTGTTTGAAAAGCTACTGTATCCAAAACGTTTAAAAAACATTTGAAATTTAATGTCTTTGTCACTTTTATTATTACTAATAATAAAAATAATAATTATAATTAAAATAATACGTTCCCATTCTCTCCCAACAGCACCTTGTGTCGAAGTGAAGACATATGCGGACTTTTATGAAGATGTAATGTTAGTCGGAACGTTGGTTCGTGGGAAAATATGGATAGGTTCTAGTGCAAATGTATTTATACATGACGTCATTACACAAGTGGGTATTGTTTATTATCTTAGATCACCATTATCATCATTATGATCAGGCAATGACTTGTTGTTTATATTTATCTTGTTAAGCTGTTTTCTCATGAGCGTACCTCTATCTATTTTTAGAGGTAATAACTATTAATCTTGTGGATATTTTTCAATTATATTTTTCAGGAAAAGAAGTTAACTGAGCTATCGCCAATCGTATTGATGAAAGCCGTCAAGAACCCAATTGAACAAAGAGGAATGAAAAATGCTCATGTACGTTTAAACAAATATCATTAGCTGTTAAATCTGAAAATAGCTTAAATTTTATTTAAATTATAAAGTGCTCATTTAAAAGCATCATATAATTTTCCAAATTTAAATCGGACACATATTTAAAACAATTCACATTTAATAAAAACGACATGTTTCAATGGCTCAACCATCATTATCAAGTGAAATCACAAATACTGAACACTAAGCTTATATAGAGCAAAGGGATACAGCCTTATTACTACCGAAATTCCTAAATCAATTATCAACCAATTTAGTCTGCAAACAATTTGTTAATTGATGAATTATTTTCTTTATTCAAATATTTCATTGAAATATAATAACTTTTCATAAATATACATCGTAAACAATTTACACATTGTACTTTATTATTTATTAACTTTATTATTTATTAACTTAAATTATTTATGTTGCTTAAAATGTTAAAATTGAAGGATGGTTCCTGGTTCAACTTTGTCGATTGCGTGCAGACGAATCGGGGTGCCTTCCCGATTGCGTGAGGGCAGCTAGCAATGCACCCTGATTCGTCTGCAACGCAATCGGCAAAGTTGAACCAGGTTCAACCTTCCCGACAGCTGTCGGCGTCCGTCGCTGATAGGGTGAGCGGTTCTAAAACCGAGCTGCTGAGAGTGTTCCCGATTCCGTCGGGGACAGCTATCTATGCAGTGCAAGGATTGCAGTGAAAACGCTGCAGCAACTGTGTAGCGTTTTTATGGAAATAAGGCTTACGCCTGGTTTACTTAAAATTGCTTCAGTCGCTACATAACAGTGATTTTAGTGCAATCGTGGTACTGCCTAGCAGTCCCTAACGCATTTGGGAAGGCTCCTCGATGCGACTGACCAATCAGCATCACCGAAAGCTCTCGGATAGCATGTAGCAATTTTAAGGAAACAGGCAATTTTTTCCTTTAGAATCAGATGTTTTGATAGAAGGATGATATATGTTCATATATAGAATACATATTTCAATAATTTGTATTGTTAACGTTTACATTGTGTGATGTATACAAATGATGGATTTACCATTTCAGATAAAAGATGCCGTGGCGTTGATTGAGTTTGCAACCTGGTTAGAGAGAGAGGTATATCACTTTATGTAGCTCATGCAACGTTTCAATGTAATATAAAACAATTATATAAGCAACAACAACAAAAAAACTAAAGGTTGTATACGTCAAATCAGCGATGACGTCTGTATGATGCTCGCCATTGAATCCCAAGATTCTCTGTAGGCCTACAAGCTCTTGCCACGATTCGTTGATTTTCATCATAATTATGCAAATATTTAATAAACTTCTATTTTTTTATATTTAAAACAAGGTTCCGCGGGCCAAAGGAAACATTAGGAGGCTAAGTGAGATTTCAGCGGCAACTAAACTTGAAACTTATCGACGGTAATGTATTTAGATTTGGGTTGTCAATATGGTTTGCGTACTCAGCTACGACCTCTGTGTGCAGTAGGCATAATACAGCATAATTTTTGCGGTAATATCGCTTAGGCCCTATGCGCATGCGAATACCGTACATCAAGCTGATCGTATGCAAATCTATTCAACCGACATGCGTGTTTAATGGTAGTTTACATCGAAAACACCAGTAGAGTAGCGGATTCACGGGGGTGGGGGCAGCCGGCCTTGGTCCCCTCCCCTTAAATTTTTCAAAATTAAAAAAAAAAGAAAAGAAAATTAAAATTTGCGTCTGAGAGTGCCATTTCCGGTCATCTAGAGGTGCCGTAATCATAAATTGTCTTACTTCAGCCCCAATCATGGTGGGGCTGAGGTGATATAGACTCTCAATCTGTGAAAGTCCTTCCCACGTCCCCCTCTATATTTCAAATTTCTGGATCCGCCACTGACCTGGTTTAGTTTATACTGTCTCTTTTGACAGATTGGGTCTCCTGGCGTACTAGGAAAATGTACAAAACGAGTGCAATCGGCTTTAAATGAAGTACTCAAGGAAATTTATTTTGCACTCGAACCTCCTCACGTATCCACTGGTACTTCTGGGTGGAGAGAAGCAATGCAGATAGCGCCTTGCTCAAGGACACAAGCGAAATGCACAGCGAGTGATTGAAACCTCCACCTCGAGGTTGGAAACCAAACTATTCCCGCTGCGACAAACCACATTATTAATTACGATGACGATGACCGCTTCTACAATATTAAGCGATGAAGATGACGTGATGACAATGATCATGATAACGATGATTATGATGGGGAAGATGATGCATCAGATATTAATAACTTTTAAAATTTGTTATTGCTCCATTTCATTCCAAATAGAATGCAAGACGGTATGAAGGGTCTAAGCTTTCCAACGATATCAGGATTTGGCCCAAATGGAGCAGTCATTCATTACTTGTAAGTTTCTATTGAACTTAACTTTAAGTCATTAACGTACACTAACGAATTATTATACTTGTGTTATGTATGAGCTTTTAAGTAGAACTCCAATAAAACATTGTAGTAAATACCGTACTCTTTAGAACAATGTATTATTAATATGAAACTTACGTTTTGTTGCAGTCCGACAGAAGCCACAAATGTTGCTATAACTAACAAGAATATGTATCTACTAGATTCTGGTGGACAATACCTGTAAGTTGCTTTGCCCACACTATCAAATTGTAGGCCTGTTACAAATTTGTGTGATGTGCCTATCCAAACCAATCCAGTCCAGTCTTCGACTTACAAGGCGCATTATACGAAGCCTCAATGTGACAAATACGGGCATAACACGTTTATTCGTCAAATAAAATTTGATAGTATGTCCAAAGTATTTGAAACGTTTTGCTTTTTATGGTAGACTAAACAAATGGTACCGTAGTTTAAACCATCTCTGAATATAGTATGTAAGTTAGCGTACATATTATTTAAACACATTAGTATATTCACTGATCGTTATAGCCAGGCACACGCATTCGGTAGGCCTATAAAACGGTACTAGAACGCTGCTTTCAACCGAACAAAAACGAATTTAGCCTGTTCTAGATAGGCCTAAAATGAATAGGTCCTATTGTATATTATAATATTGTTAATTTCTTCAGTGATGGAACAACAGACGTGACAAGAACCTTCCATTTTGGAACCCCGACAGCTTTCCATAAGGAAGCGTACACAAGAGTTCTGATGGGCTCCATTGATCTGGCCAGACTCACTTTCAGAACTGGAATATTTGGTTAGTGTAAAATATTTAAACTGACTCATGGCAACGCGCATTTTAAGATGGCTTTCTATAGGTCAGCGTCTAAATACGCACTGCATCACGGCCAATTGAATGGATGAGTCTATCAGGATGTTTACGTCCCGTCGATATCAAGCATGGTTTTTGTAATCTTTATATTTTTATTCATAAGATTTTCATCAGTAATTCTATTTATTTATTCATTTCTATTTATTTATTCATTCTTTATTCATCACGTCAAACACACCATCATCCATGACATCAGTCACCAGAGCCCTTAGTCCGCTGTGTCATAGAAACATAATACAGTACCTCCATGGTATTTCTAAAAGGTTTTTAAAAAGGATCCTGCAACTACAACAATCAGAGCGACCAGCTCATTGCATGGCATATCTTTTGGGTGTATAATGTAGTCTACTTCTCTTCCCTGATCCGCGCGCAATTATACAGGGTCGGTTACAAAGAAGCAGGTCAAATTATCACCCTATCGTAAGAAATTGTAATGCCCCGTAAAATGAGTATCATTTCCGAGCCTGTATTTCTGTACCTCCATTAACAACGTGTTTATTAACTTAGCAAACTTGCAAAGAAAACATAATTCTATATGCTAAAAATGTTGAACAACTAAAGCCAATGATTCAATCGACTCATAATTACATCTTCTAATAAGATTACTGATAGACATAATATTAACGGAAATGCTCTACGACTGGCAAAAGTGAGCCACATGAAAAATACAGTATTATATAGATATAGTAAATACAGAGTTATGGAACTACAGATGCGGCAAGGGCTATTTGCTAATAATTCCACAAGGAAGCGCAGTGTACGCAGTGTTTTTATAGGTTAAATTTATCTGGCTGGTTGTTGTTGCCTGCTCCTTTTTTCTTGATCAGCATGCGCGACGAGAAGGACTGATTCCAAAGAATCAGGTCGAATCATTACCTCCTCGAAATTAAATATTATGCCTCGTAAACGGAAGCTTCTTTCCCTGTCTTTCCTAAACTCTAATTCTGTAATTTCATTAGAAACATTCACAGCATTTAAAAGCGTGTTTATTACTTATAGTAATCAAATTATAACACATATGCCCGAAATTTTAAACTAAGCATATAATTAAATGAACTCACGTTTCTTCTAATATTATGATTACTGATTGACATTGTATCACTGGCAAAAGCCACATCAATACTTTACAATGTTATCAACAACTTTTTTAGGTGTACGATAAATCTTGAATAAATACATATATTTTAACATATCACGGTGTTTGCTGGTTTATTATAAACACTATTATATAATCGTAGGTCGCGACATTGACGTGGTTGCTCGAGCCCCGTTGTGGGCCAGCGGACTTGGATATAAACACGGAACCGGACATGGCATTGGGCATTATCTCCATGTGCATGAAGGTAAATACATTTCTTATATTGAAAAAAAATGTATGTATATAAAAATGAAAGATATGCTAGGCCTACGTCTGTTAATCGATGAATCATTTAAAGCCGGGCACTCACTGCGTCGTACATCGCGGCGGTCGTGCGACCGTCGAATCCGATTTCGTTTCCTGTGAGTTGCAGACAAAGCGACGCCGTCCGCTGATTGTCGGTGGCTGACTACGGGTCGTCATTAAAAACGATTCGTTGTGAGCGCATTGTTGCGTTGTGTTTCTCCATTTAATCGCGTCGTCCGATGACCGTCGGACGCCGTCGTGCTCGGTTAACATCGATTTAGATTATGTAAATAATTTATTATATCATGCAATATCTACCCAGATGTTGCAATCCATAATGTATAGTATTCAGCGCATTGTCATTCTCTTTCGATCAAAATGTTTACTACTACGACACACACGTATAAATATCTGATTTGGTTTGAATTCATATTATTGATACTATCTGTTCATAGGTCCAGCACGAATTAAGTACGGCTACAGACCCAATGAAGCAGCCCTTCAACCTGGAATGTTTCTGTCTGATGGTTGGTAACTGGTCATATACACAATTTATTAAACAGATAATAAACATAATAGTCACTACAGTTAACAGGAGGCCGAATAAATATAAACAATACTAATAGTACTATATTTTGATTAAAATGATTAGAGTATTTATAGACCTTGTTCACTATAATTATAACAATATATTATGATGATGTTGATCATGATAATTATTATGATGATGTCAGTAATGAAGATGATGATAATAATGATGATGACGACGATGTCAGTGTCAACGACGACACAAACAATGATGAAAATACAATGGATATATTTCCTCTCCAGAGCCGGGTTACTATGAACCGAATAGTTTTGGAGTTCGACTTGAAACAATCGTCATGGTGGTCGAGAAACCGACAACAGTAGGTTTTCCTTTATAAATTAATTATTCATAACATAGTTTAAACGAGGATTGATGTTACAGCAAAAGCTGACAATTATGAGGCTTTCAACACTTAAGTAGCCTACGTTGTTTTCACACAGAAAACGACAAGCTAATCAAGTAAATACATTTAAGGAGGTCAATGTCAAAAAGATAAAACTAAAATTTATATAAAATGAGGAACATTCGTGAGTAATATGCTGAAGTATTTAATTTTTGTAATCTAATCGGATGAAATCTAAATTTTAATCATTTGCAGCACAAATTTAGCAACTGGACTTTCATGGGTTTTGAGCCAATCACTGTTGTGCCATTTGAACCAAACCTAATCAATTATGACATGTTGTCTTATGATCAGGTAAGAAAAAAAAATTGATTCGGCAAATAAGACTTCTCGTAGTTTTAACTGTGCATGGCTATGTCAAAGGTAAAATATCCAACAATCATACACGTCCTAGATTTGTACGACGACGCGCCGCTGGAACGGAATCACTCATGCGTGACCGTCATACCTGGATCCTACGTTCTCTGCATACGTAGATTTGGCCAAATTGCGTTCCAGAATCTACTCAACGAGGTAACCTTAACGTTCTTGCATGCGCAGATGACTTTTAGTGACATCATTACGTTCTACATTACGTTCTACGTCCTACCGTCGTCGTGCAGTCGAAAGCTCCCTCAATAACGTTCTCGCATGTGCAGATCATACGACGTCATTACCTTCTACGTCCTACCGTATCGAAAGTTTTCTAATATCGTCTGCATCTTTATAAATGAACATTTGTTAATCTATATAGTACATAGCCTATTAGCCGAATAATGCAAACAAATTTAATAACAATAAATGTTGTTATATTTTATGTGTGTTTACTCGCAATTACTGTATACATATTTTTGTTTACCTTTAAAAGATCGTGTGGTTAAATGAATATAACAAGTTGATAGAACGAACAGTGTTGCGGGAATTGAGTCCAGAAGCTCAGAAATGGTTGCGTTTGCGAACTAAACAGATAAACGTTGAAAATACAAATAAGATGAACCGAAATCCATTTAACAGTGCGACCTCTACCAACCTGGGGATGCTGACTCTGGTCGCAGTCTTTTTATTTTCTTCAATTGTACTATAGGCACATTTGTTTTAGTTTCATTTTTGCAGCCCAAATGCTCGCTCATGTTATATATTGATTGTATAATTGGTCTAAAGATCGATCTAAGAGTAACTAAGATAAAAATCACAAAAGATCACAGTAGCATAGGATGGCAATTGTTCATTATTTAATTTTTTTCATCACTGTATATATATTATTTAGGAAGGAATTATTTCAGTAGTTTCACAGTAAATTAGTTAGGTCTAGTATATAGACAACATTAGATTGAAGAATGCATTGTATATATAGTAGAATAGATTAATTGGCTTATACAAAAGTTTTACCAAAATACAAAAGATTGCATGTCTATGCTTACTTTTAATATAGGCCTAAACTCATGTAAAAACAGTGTTGATCATATAGTGTTCAAATAATGTAAGAAACAATATCAATAATTTTACTGTTAGTTTTTCCACTAGTATGGCCATCGTAAGAGATGTTTTTTTTTTATGAAACACAATTTAAGAAAGGGAAAATAGCTATTACTGTTTAATTTCTGTTAATTAAAATAATTCTATATTTTTAATAATGATGAATACTGAAAATTAATTCGATTGGAGGAAGTTAATCAACTTCCTGATTTGCGAGCAATTCCAAAATTCTTCCTCACTGCTCGACATTATGAGAGGTAACAGCATTAATATGTCAACAAATAGTCAACAAATTAGCTACTCTTATAATCCATAATCTTTCTCCTTTTTTGATCCAACCTTTCTTATCATGAACTCTGCGAGTTTTAGAACATACATACAGTATTATTTCATATGACATAGCCATTTGGCATAGCATCAATCATACCGCACGTTAAGGTTCATAGTTCATAGATTACTTTATCTGTCCTTTCGGAAATTTGGTCTTAGTAATCTCAATAATGTATACAAATCTCGATTTATTTTAGCTACATAATATAATTATGAAATAATGATGATGCTAACTAATTTGATTCACAATTTGTGTGTTCTGGAGTATATATAATCAACTTTATTTAATTAAAAATTTCAATTGGAATGTATTAAGTTGTATTTTAAGATAAACTATACATGACATGCGTAACCTAATTTCAACTCATCTGAATAATAATTATATTTGTACTAGTTTAAACTGTAAACACACTGAATGTGGTAAAAACATTTCACAGACTAACAAACTTTCATAAAAATAAAAAACACAAAAGCTAGAGAAAGTTTCAAATAAAAAAAAAATATTGTTAGCCTGTAAAATGTTGTCTTAGTCATCTTACTTAATATATCATGTAACTAGTCAACAACGTAACGAATAACGAAACGCATAATGAATTAATCGAAACTAAACATCGTACCTAAGTATTTAAGGCCTAAGTATTTAAATGATATTTTGACATAATATATACTGTAATTATATTTCTTGTGCTTTTGACTGCCGTGCTTAAAAACGTTTAAACCATAACGTCATTATAATTGTGGCGATTATAACATAGGCTGATGGAACACCACGTGAAGAAGCACTGAAGACATAGTCGTAGGATACTTGGACGGTTTTACTCTCCATCCATTCAACAGCATCCTCGCCATCAAGCTCATTGGTCAATTTTTCTCTTATCAACTTATTATAATCATTCAGCCAATCAATCTGCAATAGAAGGAATTAAAAGGATAATCGAAATTAACTAGTATAGTCCTACACTATTTTAAGGTGCAGAATCATTTTTAATGTGATTCAGTTAGGCCTGGTTCCCATGAAATCACTACTGTCGATACAGCGTTTATTCATTGCGCCAAGTTGTCATTAACGCAAACGATCGGGAAGGCAGGCCTACCCGACTTGACAAACCAATCAGCGTCGTTGAAAGCTCCCAGCGATAGGATGCAACAGTTTAATCCATGGCCGACTGAACCGCCCCCCCCCCCAGCGATAGGATGCAACAGTTTAATCCATGGCCGACTGAACCGCCCCCCCCCAACTTTTTGACAGAAAACATATAATATCTATGCAGATTTTTGTATGATCGGCGCCCTCGCAGTTCATATTCCCATTCATGTGGTCCACCGCCCCGCCCCCCTCCCACTCATTGAAAAACGTTCCGCCGGCCCTGTAATCGTCATTATCATCATTATAGTTCTTATCTTATTATCATCAGTATCAATATACCGTAAAACCTCGAATTGAAGCCCAATGGGCTTAATCTCGAGATGAATCCCATCTTGAATTGAAGCTCCCCTCTGCAAAAATTAGCCTCGAAAAGAAGACTATGGGCTAAAAAAAAATTAATTAAAAACAAGCTTGGTTTATACAGTAGTTTTGGTGATGTAATGCCAGTTAAATACACTCCAAGATACAGATTGATGTTATAGTTTATTTATTGTATAGTACAAATTCACAAAATTTACATCATTCATTTTGAAAAGAAGTTCCCCTCTTTACTTTGCAAAAGTAGCCTCCGAAAAGAAACCCATCCAAAATTCGGGAAAAAAGCCAAGGGCTACAATTTTAGGTTTTACGGTATCTTGGAAGAAATTCATCTAGTTATCTAAACACTTAAATTTAAATTTGGTTAAACAAAAATTAAAACATAAATTTATATGGATACAGACAGTATATCGTGTTTACCTGTTGTCGGCTCAGAAGAGAGTAGTCAATCAATGTTGGCTCGAACGGAACAAGAGCAACCGGATCAAATGTCATATACGTGTAGCCATTAAAATTATGCTGGAAATATAATGCGTTACAAAATGCATGAACAGTAGTAAGAAATATAAAAGTAAAGTATTAGAATAATATAATATGCCTACATAACATAAGAAAACAGTCAGATAATGGAAAGTGGCTTACATCTAACTCCTCAGTTATGTCCTTTGCCATCACGATAGTCTCCAGTCGTATTCCAAATTGTCCATCTTCGTAGTATCCCGGTTCTGAAAAAATATGAACTCTTACTGTTACAGAATTTTATTATCAGCAGTGTTGTTGCCTGTGTGAATTTTGGCGGTAACATTTATCAGATTTTTAAAATATTTTTTTAGAAACAGTATGTTATTTTACTTCATAGTCAAAATAGGTAATAAATATTAGCATTATTGCCATTATCATTAGGCCTATCGTCGTAATGTTCAAAATGTATGATGTAAATGTTAATATATTTTGAACATTTATATAGATAGGTCTATTACGTAGTTGGCCTATATACACTAAATACTGTAATATAAATACAATGAATATATAGCCTATAATAGTTATGTTTTTAAAGATACTTTATATTAAAAATTGAATGACAATACTTAGCCAGGGGCATTTGTTTATATGAAAAAAAACACATTTTAGGTTATACCATAAGGACCAATTTGTTTTATGAAACGAACATGAACAAAATTAGTTAAAAATGTACAACTAAGGTTTAAACGAAAGCTAAATAGAACATGATTTAGTTTGAAAATAGCTTCAAGTGACAATGTTAAAATGATTACACGAGATTTCGTTACTCATTAAGATCATCATCATCACCATCGTCATCACCAATGTCATCGTCATCGTCATCATCAACAACATCATCCTCAAAATTGCAATGTTACTATCGGTTTATTTCTACAACCCAGAAGCAGTGACTTGATGGACACATTTAAATTGTTATTCAATATTCATATTTCTTCATGGACGAAATGAACATCATCACTGTCATCGCCATAGTCTATTATTTATTATTAGCTTTTGTAATTAAACTTGGTTTTCATAAAATCGCTACACGCTATCGCCGATAGCTTTCGGTTTTGCTGATTGGTCGGTCGAATCGGGGAGCACTGAAAACACTGTAGCGACTTTAAGTAAACCAGGCTTTAATTATTGTAAGACGGAATTACCCCATGATGCTATGCGACAAGTTGCAATGCTACTACCGGTATTTCTACAACCCAGAGGCTGTGATTTGGTGGAAAAATTGTTATTTAATATCCATATTTAATAGTTGTCACGTGAAGTTAAAGTGCTGTTGTATTTTATGGCATTGTTCACATGATATCTCAGGCCGGGTGGTAATTCAGAGTGGTGAAGGTTTGGCGTTTGGTCAGTATTCAGTATATTGGACCTCACTTTAGGAATACTGGCACACACCTGTAAGGTGTTGCGCGTCCATGCATACTATAAGTAAATATATATAAGTAAATGTATGTATATATATGACAGTATTAAACATCAGTAAAGTCAAAATTATTAAGGGTCAAAATTGACCTAAAAAAAGTAATAATATGTTTAGAAAAAATAATCATATATTAATTGATTGTTAAAAAGACATACTTATGAAAAATATTAAGTAAATTATGAACATTAGATTGGATTACATTTTACAATACAGTTTATTTTTTATTACAAATATATTATACACATAATAATGTATACACACACACACACACACATATATATATATATATATAGGTCTATATATACACATA